TCAACAAAAAAACATCAAATTTGAAATGTAACGCAGGGAATTCTGGGAATGTCAATTTACGGTTATTCACTGTAAATTATACGGTCTTTTTCACTTCCAAAAACGGTATACTACCGTAAAATTAATGTCCAATACATGTAATGTCCAATACAGTTTTTCACCGTATATAGTAGGGGAATTTACCGTTAACCATTTAACAGGTTTTTACTGTAGCATTTTTACAGTCATTTACCGTTAAATTCACAGTCATTTTTTACAGTGGTAGAATGCATAACAGAGATGGGCACTCGAGTTAAGTGACTCGGACGCCAGTCGCATTTTTATAGACTTCAGACTTGACTCAGACTCGACATGAAATGACTCCAGACTTGACTCGACTCGAGGAAAAGGACTCGTGGAAATTTTAAAAGCAACTCAAGTCTTTTATCCTTAAATAACTGATATTCAAAAGGCGGATCGCATCCGCCCCCGGCATCCATCCGGACCACGAGCCGTAACACAGCACCCTTTTAAATGAACGGCGCGTCAAAACAGCAGAGCAGATCACATAACAAGCGCTCAGGGTCGTTTATGGTAAATATTTTTCAGCGCTATATCCTCTAGAATTTTTATCAAAAGCCAAACACGCTTTCTTAAAGCCCTTTCAGCTCCATGCGCTTTCTCTCTCTCTCCAGACGCGCGCCGGCGCCAAGTTCAAGAGCTGCGGATGACGCAGTTATTTTAACAACAACAGAAACAACAATGCTGCAAATATAGTTATTTTTCATATTATCTATTTATAACCTATGACACTGGCTGTTCAAACCAGACGTGACAAGACTGATCTACATTTAGCATTATTAGTCTGTAGGCTAAGAACATTGCAAAAAAAGAATCATGTCATTATAATTGGGGAAATTGTTGTTAGATGGCTAGGATAGGACTTAAACTTTGAAATTGTTAGTTATCTTTATTTTCTGCTCAAGATGAGAACGTTTTGATTATTGTAGCTACATTGTTTTTAGATAATGCTTTTAAGTAGGCTAAAATATTAAAATAGTATAGATTTCAGGATGAAAACCCTGAACAGAAACAGTATTTTTTCTGTCACATGGCCTCGCATGCATCTAAATGTAAAAATGCAATAGATGTATAAAAATTATTTTAAAAAAATTCGGAAATAAAGAGATACTTTATTTGTATGGTTTTGTAATATCTGTGTCACAAATTTCCTTGTGTGGTACATGGGGCTCTTATTATAGAATTTCATTACAGAAAAACAGTTTTGAACATGGTAATGGATTAAAACATAGCCTATAAATAACAGGCTGGATGTACAACAACCTTACATCTTAACACCTCTTTTTTTATTTTTATAAAGCAGATCATAGAATGTTTTGTCTATAGCCTATAAATCAGCTTCGTAAATAAGAAAGATTTCAATACATGAGGATTCTAAATGAGATTTTTTTTAGCGAGCCATTAAATGACTTGAGACTCGACTCGGACTCATGACTAAAGACTCGAGACTTGACTCAGACTCCAGCGATAAAGACTTCAGACTTGACTCAGACTCCAAGTTAAAGACTTGTGAACATCTCTGATACATAAACACTTTTTAATAAAACGTAAATTCGTC